CTTCACAGTTTGGCGCGAAAAGAACCATCAGTACTCTTAAGAAAATTAGACTTACCTAGCATCACTCACGAACTCTTTATTAAATTAATGTGTCGATACTCCAACCAAGGAAATTAGCAGATTCTCTTCTTTTGTTTAATGAAAATGACATAAATAGTTGTTTCAAGCATGGCGATTTCAGCTTCGCACATTTCGAAGCTGTATATCAACATACTGCGACTTTTCCAGAAGAGGTACATGCGCACAAACCTATTTTATTCTGACGTCATTGCTTAGAATCACGTATTCCCGAGAAAGAGGGAAAAAGTTGCATATTCCCCGTCTTAAGGATTGGGAACATTACGGTTTGGAATCGTTCTCAACCAGAACTGGACCTAACCGCACCGATCGTTCCTAAATTACGGTGCGAACTGAGGTCACGTGACTAGTTTGCTTTCGTGTAACCAGTGTTACCGGTGCGAATATTGGAACGCAGCTTTACTGTAGGATAGAACGGAAAAGAGCGGGCCTATATTTTGGTGACCAAGGCAAATACCTTGGCAAACAAAAATATAGACGGCATTCCCAAAAGAGCAGAAAATCAGGGGCATGAATCGTGGTTGCCGGGAGAAAAGTATTGCACCAAGCAGACTCCTCAATTCTGCTTTTAACATGTAAAGCAGTGATTCTCAACCACTGTGCCGCGTCACTTTTGTGTGCCGCCAAATTCTTAAAATGTGCCGCAAAATATTAGAAATGATACAATAAAAATTATAATGCTTTTTTTTATTATGAGTAAAGTTAAAGAAAAACTTATATATATATATATGCATATATACTTTTTGTAATTTTTCCACGCTTTAACCACGTGAACATCTTTGTCGGCGATTGTCTTGTGTCTGACAATAATAAAATAAGATGGAAGTGTTATATGACACACAATTTTAAAAAACTTTATAAGAGCTAATCACTAAAGTAAGCTATGCAATTAATAAACAAATTAACAAAGGATAGCTTACAAAAATGAAGCTAACAATTAATAATTAGCAAAAGAACTAGGTAACAAGAATTCACAAAAAAATAACAGTTAATGCAACAAAAAAGACTAACTGTTAATTACTATAGAAAGCAAGCTAACAATTAATAACTAGCAAAAAATAAATAACTGTTACTAACTAATAAAAAAATTTTTGAAAAAAATAATTAATCCCTTCATAAATTTGCTTTTGTAGTACATATTATTTTATTTCACATTCAAAATTATTATCACAAACTATTTAACATAGTATGAAATAGGTAATAAAACTACTTTAAATCTAATTTTTTTCATTGTCTGCCGTCAAATTTCGAAATCGTTAAAAGTGTGCCGCAACAAAAAAAAGATTGAGAATCACTGATGTAAAGTCACAAGGTATTTGCTGTCTCTCTAGCTTAAGCCAGAGCCTTATTAATGGAATCAGAAAGCTATAAGCTTAAGCAAAGATCTCGTCTCACTATACTACACACATCAACTTGTCAATCCTTCATTCCAAACAATCCGAGCCTCTATAATCCGAACTTATATGAGTTAGGAAATCTGAATCAGGAAAAATGTGCTCGAAATAATTTGTGTATCATGTTAAATAGTAAATCTTGCTTCAATATGTCCGAAATATATTAATTGATTTTAGTTTATGTGCTCTAAGTACTTCCACAATGATTGTCGAAAATACATCGGCAATGAATGGAGAAATATAATTATTGGTATTAAATAGAGGACCTCAGTTGAATCTCGTCTTGGCGAATCTAGTGGGCGTCACAGATAGCGATACGGAAATATCTTCTAAAAGTTATCTGACTAAGGATAGTTGTGTTCCTACAAGAGTGAAATCTTATTCTTGTAGTATATATAACAAGACTTTTCCCCATAGAAGTAATCTGACTACGCACGGTTATGTTCATACTGCTGAGAAACATTACTCTTGTAGTTATGTAATAGGAGTTTTTCACAAAAAAGTAATCTAACTAAACACTATCGTGTTCACACTGGTGAGAAACCTTATTCTAGTATATAGTAAGAGTTTTTTCATGCAAAAGTCATCTGACTAAGAAGAGTTCTGTTCACACTGTTGAGAAACTTTATTCTTGTTGTTTATGTAATATGAGTTTTTCACAACAAAGTCTTCTAACTGAACAGGGTCTTGCTCACATTGGTGAGAGACCTTATTTTTGTAGTATATGCAACAAGAGTTTTTTGAAAAAAAGTCGTCTAACTGAACACAGTCGTGTTCACACTGGTGAGAAACCTTATTCTTGTAGTATATGCTGCAAGAGTTTTTCGCAAAAAAGTCATCTGACTAAACACAGCCGTGTTCACACTGGTGAGAAACCTTATTCTTGTAGTATGTGCAACAAAAGGTTTTCGCAAAAACTCTCTCTAACTGTACACAGTTGTGTTCACACTGGTGAGAAACCTTATTC